AATCTATTAATCCTCAAGCTTAACTCAATAGACAACAGGGCTTGAAGGCGAGGTACTAACTCATACTAAATTACGGTAACTTTATTCCCGGCTTATAAGTGTGGCTCCTGGAGCTTGTCTCAATGTAAACAAAACACGGGAGCATTCAAGACTGCCTGAAACTATAGCATTCACAGTGGGGTGAATTGTTATCATCACCACAGACCCAAAACTCGGTGGGAATTATTCTTTCTCTCCTGTTATGGTCTGTGTCTGTCTGGTTGTCTGTGTCTGTCTGTTTGTCTGTGTCTGTCTGTCTGTCTGTGTCTGTCTGTCTGTCTGTGTCTGTCTTTCTATTTGTCCGTCTCTTCCTCCCTTTTTCCCTATCCATCTTCCATCCATCTCTGTCTCTTTCCCTCCTTCCTTCCTTCTCGCCATTATCTCTCTCTCTCTCTCTCTCTCTCTCTCTCACCTGGACGAGAATCACAAAACAATAGACGCTTGACTATCGCATAAGTTGTCCCCCAGAGAGCCATAAGGGCAGGTCCCGGGCAGCCTGACGCTATCTAGGGGAGTTAGGTTAGGTTAGTAGTTAGGTTAGGTTAGGTTAGGTGGAGAGAGGAAGAGAATGAGGAGTGGAGGGATGCAGATAGGGGTGGAGGGAGGGAAAACGAAATGAAGGGAGGGAGGGATAGGGAGAGGTTGTAGGAGGAAAGGAGGGGTGGAGGGAGGAAAAGGAGGGTTGCTGAGGTGGAGGGAAGGAGGGGATGCAGGGAGAAAGAAAGGAAGGAAGAGAGGGAGGGGGTCAGGGGGGGGGGGGTGGGGGAGGGTTGTATGGGACCGCCTGCCACATTACCTCATTCATCCAACCAGGAAATCAGCGTGAACCTATTGAATGATAATGGGCTCCTCTGCCTCGTGCTCCCGGACACTAACCTCCCCAGCCTCCCCTGCCCCTTGCCTCCTACCTCCCGGACACCAACCCTTACTTTCTGCCTCCTACCTCCCCTGGACACTAACCTCCCAGCCTCCCTCCCTTCTGCCTCCCACCTCCCGACACTACCCCTTACTTCCTGCCTCCTACCTCCCCCGGACACTAACCCCATTCCCTACCTCTTACCTCCCCCGAAGGTTGTGTTAGGTCAGGTCAGGTCAGGTCAGGTCAGGTCTTGGGTACGGACGGGGGTGTAGAAGACCCTGCTAGACAGAGGCGCCAGTTTTTCAGGTACTACTAATAATAAGATAAGAGGTGGTGGTGGTGGTGGTGGTCGCCCGTCCTCACACAGGGTAATGGTGTGTTAAGTCGTTAATGCTCAACAGTTCATCGATTAAAAGAAAATGGATGATGGGTGCATGAAACTGCTGCCGCTGCGATGCCAAGTTGACGTATGACCATGCGGTGGTGCCAAACCTAACCTAACATAACCTAACTTAACCTAACCTAACCTATTCTAACTTAACCTAACATAACCATCTACCCTAACCTAACCTAACCTAACCTAATTTAACCTAACCTAACCTGAACAAAAACACACACCTGGGTATCTACCTTTGTTTTGTACCTTTAAGTGAGCCAATTAGATATGTTCTCACTTCTCCAGACAGACAGTGAGATCAAACACGTTTCCACCAATAAGAAATACACTTTACTGTATATTTTGATGAGTCAGGCAGTGTTTTAATGGTGTAACACAGACCTGGTGGTGGGTGGTTGGGTGTAGTGGTTACGGCGTGGGATAGATGGTGTGGTTATGGCGTGGTTATCGTACGGGGTGGGTGTAGAGAGAGTGGGTGGCGTGGTTGTGGCTTGGGTGGGGCGTGGTTAAGGCGTGGTTGTGGCTTGGGTGGGTGTAGAGAGAGTGGGTGGCGAGTAGGCGTGTGGGTGGCTGGTGGGTGTAGAGAGAGGGTGGCGTGGTTATGGCGTGGTTGTGGCTTGGTGGTGTGTAGAGAGAGTGGGTGGCGTGGTTATGGTGTGGTTGTGGCTTGGGTGGGTGTAGAGAGAGGGTGGCGTGGTGGCGTGGTTTGGCTTGGGTGGGTGTAGAGAGAGGTGGGTGGTTATGGCGTGGTTGTGGCTTGGGTGGGTGTAGAGAGTGTGTGGTTGTGGCTTGGTGGGTAGAGAGGGTGGCGTGGTTATGGCGTGGTTGTGGCTTGGGTGGGTAGAGAGAGGTGGTGGTTATGGCGTGGTTGTGGCTTGGGTGGGTGAGAGATATGGTGTCGTGGATGGCGCGGGGGTGAATCATTCAGACCTACAGCGCCATAGTACTTTTGTTCCTACTTCGCGCGCCACTAACGAGCTTGAGGGCGCGTGTGGGCGTGGCGAGGCGTGCCCGGGTGGCGCGTGGGCTTGTGTGCCGGTAATCCTTCACTAATTTGAAAATCCTATCGACTCCAGATGGTGGGGGAGAGGGAGGTGGGGAGGTAGAAATAGGAGGTAGTAGAATGGGGAAAATATGTAGAAAGGGGGAGAATTAGAAAGAATGGAAAGAAATGGAAAGGTCTAGGAGAAATAAGTTGGAATTGGGAAAATGGGTAGAAATAGGGATAAACAGGGAAAATAGGGAGGAATGGGGAGAAAGGAAAAATCTCACGTATTCTTATCTTCTCCCTCCTCCTTCCCTTCTTCTTATTATTCTTCTATTTCTCCTCCCCTCCCCCTTCTCTCCTATTACATATTCATTCCTTCTTCTTCCTCTTATTCTATCTTCTTCTATTAACCCTTCATCATCTTATTCGTCTTTATCCTCTTCATCCTCTTTATTTTCTTTCTTTAATTTATCTTCTTCTTCTTCTTCTTCGTTTAATCTTAGTTTTTTAGTAATCACTCTTTGTTCTCTCTCTCCTCTCTCTTCATTACTGCTTATTCTCCCGTTATCTACCTTCTCTATCTCCTTCTTCCATCGTCGCTTATTGTTTTTCTTTTGTTATTATGTCTTGTCCTTTGATGTAGCTTCTTTCCCCTCCTATTCATTCTACCTTTTGTTTTATCTTTCTCTCTCTTGTTATTCCCTCCTTCGCTATGTTGGCATTTCTGGGGGGCTTATCTGGACAAACTTTCATTAATCAGAATTTATTATTATTTTTTTTTTTTAATATTTTACAAAGTCTCTGTTTTTGTTTCATATTTTTCATTAATTTAGGATTTTGACTTTTTTTTGTATATCTCCTGACCCTTCCTCTCTCTCAGCCTCGGGGTAGAATCTCGGTCCCTCTGATAATATCTTCACTATCCTCACTTTAATAAATATTCTTATCTCATCTCTTATCTTATATTTCACTACCTCTTTATTTTTCATCATTTTCAAATAATTTTTTTTTAGCTTAGGTTAGGTTAGGTTAACGTAGGTTGAGATTCTCTAGGTAATCGGACTATAATAAATAATCTTATATAAAATAATCCTTATACCTTTATATATGAATTATTATATAAACAAATACTATACATGGGGGAAAACACTATTTTACACCTTATTTTACACCCTATTTTACATCTTATTTAAACCGTATTTTACACCATATTTTACACTTATTTTAAACCATATTTTACACCATATTCTACACAATATTTTACGCCTTATTCTACACCTTATTTTACCTGTGATGCAACTCAAGATCTTTTGTATATAAATCCTCCTTAAAACACATTGACTATAAAAGCCGATTTATAGGCTATTATGGAGTAAGTAGTCATCAATATCTTGCTATAGGATTTGTTGATAGGATTTATGGGCGTAAATCCTATATAGCTTTAGCGTGTGAAGGCAGACTTGTGGGAGTATGATGATATAATGTAGTTTTCCCTGCAGTGTTTAGATAGCTTATAGAAAATGGGGTCTTGGTTTAAATGTAAGTTTGTTCAGTGTAGAGTAAATATTTTTTTTTTTTGTAGATTTCATTTATTTTATTCAATAAGTAACTAATTTTGGCTTCTTCATTCTTGTTATTTCATTATGTTAGTAATTAATTCTGGTTACTCACATACTATTCTGCATTCAACTCATTCTCAGCTCATTCTGACTTCACATGATTAAATTTCTACTAAAAAAAACAACTCAGTCATTTTCAAAGGAATTTTATTTGTATGAGATAGAAGCATTAAACAGAGACAGACAGACAGACAGACAGACAGACAGACAGACAGACAGACAGACAGACAGATAGATAGATAGATAGATAGACAGGACAGACAGACAGACAGACAGACAGACAGACAGACAGACAGACAGATAGAAAGATAGATAGATAGATAGACAGACAGACAGACAGACAGACAGACAGACAGACAGAGAGTAGCTCACGTCCACAAGTGGCAGCAGACGTTAGGAGCAATAAAACCCACACCAGAAAGTCCTTAGAGTGAGTAATAACGAGGTTAAGTTAGTAATAACGAGGTTAAGTTAGTAATAACGAGGTTAAGTTAGAATTAAAGATCTGTTAAACTTTATCGTACGGTAAACAGACTAACAGACAGAAAGGCTAGCAGACATATCTACTAACAGACAGACAGACAGATAGATAGATGTACTAACGAATTAATAGACACACCAACTAACAGACACACAAACTAACAGACACACTAACTAACAGACACACTAACAGACACACTAACTAACAGACACACTAACTAACAGACACACTAACAGACACACTAACTAACAGACACACCAACAGACACACACCAACAGACACACCAACAGACACACCAACAGACACAGACTAAAAATATAGACGATTGCTATATAAGAGTCCCCATTTATTTAAACCAAGATATAAAAGAAATAATTGGAAATAAATGTTTTTTTGGGGGAGTCTAACTTATTTTTGCTCGGCAGCCCTGAAACTGAACCTGAATTTACGTATTATTGCTGCTAGTTTGGTTAGGTTAGGTTAGGTTAGGTTAGGTTAGTTATAGTTAGGTTAGGATAGTTATGGTTTGATTTGGTTAGGTTAGTTTTTAGTAGGATAGGATAGTTATGGTTAGGTTAGGTTGTTACACATTGGTTACACAGAACTAGGGGCTTCTTTTAATGGTTAGCTTCAAGGAGGTGGGCATGTTTGGACTGGTGCCTGGCAGGACTGGGGGCATGTCTGGACTGGCGCCTGGCAAGACTGGGGCATGTCTGGACTGGTGCCTGGCAGGACTGGGGGCATGTCTGGACTGGCGCCTGGCAGGACTGGGGGCATGTGCCGGACTGGCGCCTGCCAAGACTGGGGGCATGTCTGGACTGGTGCCTGGCAGGAACGGGGCATTCGGACTGGTGCCCAGGCATGAGAGATGTCTGACTCGGTGCCTGGCAGGACTGGGGGCATGTCTGGACTGGTGCCTGGCAGGACTGGGGAATGTCTGGACTGGTGCCTGGCAGGACTGGGGAATTTCTGGACTGCGCCTGCAGGACTGGGGAATGTCTGGACTGGTGCCTGGCAGGACTGGGGGCATGTCTGAACTGGTGCCTGGCAGGACTGGGAGCGTCTGACTGGTGCCTGCAGGACTGGGGCATGTCTGGACTGGTCGGTAGACTTGGGGCATGTCTGACTGGTGCCTGGCAGGACTGGGGAATGTCTGGACTGGTGCCTGGCAGGACTGGGGGAATGTCTACTGGTGCCTGGCAGGACTGGGGGAATGTCTGACTGGTGCCTGGCAGGACTGGGGACGCCATCTGTTCTGTCAGTAAATTAACTAACTGTTCCTCTCGTCTACCATCTGTTCTGACTCATTGCTTTCCCTCCCTCCTTCCCTCCCTACCCATCCCTCTTCCCCCCATCCCTCTTTCCTCCCCATCCCTCTTCCCCTTTACACTCACTCCCTTACACTCTCCCCATCTCCTACACTTCACCCCTCCCCTGCCTTCAAAACTCTCCCTATTTCGTCCCATCAGAATTCACCACACACCTTCCTACCACACTTCACCACACCACCACACCTTTTCCTCTCTCACATACCACACCTAGACCCTTTTCAACACACTCTTGCCTCTTTTTTTTCACACACCTCTACCATACATCTCACCACAACACATCCCTCCCACACATACCTCTTCCTCACCTTATCACACCACATCTCTCCCACAAACACCCTCTTCCCCACACATCCTTTCCTTCACCTCACCCCACCACACCCATCCCACAAAACCCTCTCCCTCCCCACACACACCACCATCCCACCACAGACCCCTCCTCACTATTAACTTGCCCACTTCCGACGATTGCTGACTTTACGACACACAAACTGCAAAACTATCACCGCTGAACCTCACCCACTTCCCCCCTCACCTCACAGTCATGCACCAGATTTTAACTCGTCCTCTTCGTAACTTAAATAAAAGAAAATAATTGTAGTCGAGTCTTAGAGCAAATTCGACGCCATTTATACGTAGATTTTGTGTTGATGAACGAGATGCATTATTGAACAGCTACAGAGAGAAGGGAAGTCTTAACATACGATGCTTTGTGGATGTGGACGTTGGACATGTGGAAACTTTTGATGGGAGATTAGAGGGATTATGGCCGCTGATTGGTGAATCTCTTACTTCCAGACTGTGTCCCGGCGCCCTAACCTCCATCATCCGGGTTTCGAGCTGTTCGTATCATAAAAAAATCTTTATAACTGATGGTGTGAATATTAATTAACTGGTACACTCATGCTGTACAGATTAATGAATGTTTCTCAAAGCTTTACACCATCAAACTGGAGATAAGAAAACAATAACTCATTTTTTTTTAATCTACCAAAAATTATTTCTCATATGTAACTGAAGGTAAAGGAAATTATTTAAAGGTTAGTTATTTGAGATACGACACGAAATTGACCAAAAAAAAATCCTTGTCTACTGTTTTCTGATTCATTTGTTTCTTCACGTGATTGTTTTGATTTATTTGTTTCTTCACGTCATTGCTTCTTTGATTTATTTGTTTCTTCACGTCATTGCTTCTTTGATTTATTTGTTTCTTCACGTCATTGCTTCTTTGATTTATTTGTTTCTTCACGTCATTGCTTCTTTGATTTATTTGTTTCTTCACGTCATTGCTTCTTTGATTCATTTGAGTCTTCACGTCAACAGTTAGTCATTGTTTGTGAGTCATTTACTTCTTCACGTCAACAGTTAACCTGGAGGGAATACAGACTGGCTGGGAGTCAGTTCAGGAGGTATTACTTAACGTTGTCTGGTGGTAACTGAGACTTAGTGAACGGCACTGAATTAATTAAAGCCTCGAGGGTGATTCACTTGTAAACATTAAAACAATAACAATGATAATGAAGGCTGTTGTATTATTTTACGAGGTACACACACACACACACACACACACACACACACACACACAGTCTACCAACCAACAACCAGAACAAATTAATACTTAGAAATAAACAAACTGGCAGACAAACAAACGGAGAGTCAGACAAACAGATCAAACAGACAAACAGTGATCACAGCAACACAATGACTGCAGCAATAGAAGGAAACTCTCCGTGTGATGGCGAGAGATTTTCAATTTAATTTTGTGTGGCAAAACAAACTATCTCTAGGAGCTATTTAGACCTGTCCCAGCCCCTGTGAACCTCCTGGGAAGCACCCACACACCTGCTGGGGGAGAACTCACACCCTGCTGGGGGCACTCACACACCCTGGGAGCACTACACACACCCTGCTGGGGAGCACTACACACTCCTGCTGGGGGAGTACCTTACACACTCCTGCTGGGGGAGTACCTTACACACTCCTGCTGGGGGAGTACCTTACACACTCCTGCTGGGGGAGTACCCACACTCCTGCTGGGAGTCCTCATACTACTATACTACTCCTTGTGGGGGAATATTTGTGGATGTCTGTGTGGATTCTTGGGTATCTGTCTGTCTATCTAAGTGTCTGTCTATTAATGTCTGTCTATCTAAGTGTCTGTCTATCTAAGTGTCTGTCTGTATTTGCCTGTGTGTCAATAAACTTCTCCTCGTCTGATCTATTTACATACTGGGTGGTGAGTGACCTTGACCTTTGACCCGTAAAACACAGCAGGTAGTTGTCATGGTAACGAAATATACACCACGATTGAACACTGTCCCCACCACCTCACACGTATTACGAGTTATGGTACAAACATACTTGTATTTGAGTGTATTTCCATCTTATGTTAGTGACCTTGACAATTGACCCCACACACACA